TGGCTCTGCTGTGCTGAGGACTCCAGAGCTGCCCCAGCACTGCAGGGGGGTCTCCCAGAGACCTCACCCCCAGCACCCCCAGGTCCTTCCCCCCAGGGCTGCTCTGAGTGCTGCCACAGAGGGGCAGGAAGGGAGGAGCTGTCAGCTCTGCCCAAACCAGCAGATCACAGGTGGAAAACCACAGTTAGGCACCTACCTTTGTGCCACTTTCCCCTCCCAGAATCTGGAGTGGGAAAGGGCACTGCTACCAAAGTTTATCAAGCCACTGAGGAAGGTTTATTAGGCCCTAAACTCTGATTTTCCCTCTGGGTTACTCTGGGCACCTCCCTGCTCCACTTATTTCTGACAATTGCTTCCTTAAATGCCCGGGTGCCTAACCTGCAGCAGAGCTCCTTGAAGGTGGGTGGAGCCCAGGGGAAGCCACCTTTGCTTAGGTATGGCAGTTCTGAGTGTATCCAGGCAGGATTTGCTTCTGGAAGGGATTCACCAGGACGTGCTTTGCAGTATTCCCATGACAACACGTTAGAAACTTGTCCCAAACTTGTCCCAGGCTCCATCTGCTCTGCAGTGGCAGAGATTCCAGCACGTCAGGGTTGTTTACAGCACTGCTTGGAAAACAGGCTCAAAAGTCTCCTTTCCTCTGAGCCCTGGGAGTTCATCCTTCCTTCCTCCCATCCTACTCCCAAATCTTGTTCAGGACTGTGTTCAGCTGACGTTTCTCTCTGTTTTGTCCTTCCTGAAGCTTTATCCTGCCTGCTCTCTTTGGTGTACCTGACTGATTCTCCCCATCACTTGGAGAACATGGAAAGACCCCTGAATTTCAGTCGTAGGCCCTTTGCCTGCCTCTGTTTCCTTGAACTAGAGGGGAGAACAGTGTTGCCTTTCTTCAGCCTGGTTCTTTTGGCTGATTTTCCCTGGCTGAGCCACTCTGCTGGGACCTGCTCCCTGCCTTGTGACATGTAGAGTCACTCTGGGATGGAGAAGCTTCCAGCTCTGTGCACTTGGGATTTCTGTCCCTTCCACTGTGTGTTTTGTCAGGACATGGAACATGTCACTGATCTTAAGAGCTTAGAACCTTTTATTTTTCATGTTAACTCCCTAACTGTTAAAAATCTTGTTGTTCATGGGTCCCTAATTAGATCTGCAAGGTTTTGTTGCTCTCTGTGAGTGGGGCATGTGGGAATAACTTAGTTCTGCCTTTTCTCTGCCCAGATTGCTCCTTGCTTTCTTCTCCTTTGTAAACAACTGCCTTTGATCTCCCTTTGATTTCCAGCTTTGAAGCAAAAGTGCCTTTCTTAATTATGGATTGCAAACCCATAAACTGACTCTGCTGTTTCTGGCAGTGCTCTGAGGGGTCATTTCTTCTGACTTGTAGATATGGAGCATGTATTTTAAAGCTCCAAAGTCCAGCTGGAGCAAAAAGCTTGCTAGAACTCCTGAAAAGGAGAAAATTTAGGTGACTACTGAGATATCTGCCTTGCCTGGTTAGGGATGTGTCAGCAGCCACAGGTATAAACTGTGAGAGCTCAGCTTTATCCACATCTCTGTGACCATCCAGGCTACCTGCTTCTCTTGTAGCCTGGAGCAATCAGTCTGTAGCCCAAAGGGTTGGGACACTCTTCCAGATTAAGGCATAAAAAGGTAAAGATTCAGGGTCACACTGCAGGTAATAGAGGTGCCCAGAGGGTGCCCAGGTGGCCAAGAAGGCCACCAGCATCCTGGCCTGGCTCAGCACCAGTGTGGCCAGCAGGAGCAGGGCAGGATTGTCCCCCTGGGCTTGCACTGGGGAGGCTGCACCTCAAATCCTGGGGGCAGTTTTGTTCAGAGGGACACTGAGGGGCTGGAGTGTGGCCAGAGAAGGGCAACGGAGCTGCTGGGGAAGGGTCTAGAGGCCAAGTGTGGTGAGGAGCAGCTGAGGGAGCTGGGGGTGCTGAGCCTGGAGCAAAGGAGGCTCAGGGGAGACCTTCTGGCTCTGCACAGCTCCTGACAGGAGCCTGGAGCCAGGGGGGGGTCGGGCTCTGCTCCCAAGGGACAAGGGACAGGACAAGAGGAGACAACCGCAAATTGCCCCAGGGGAGGTCGAGGTTGGACCTGAGGAACAATTTCTTCCCCTGGAGGGTTGCCCAGGGCTGTGCCAGGCTGCCCAGGGCAGTGGTGGAGTCCCCACCCCTGGAGGGGTTCCCAAGCTGTGGAGATGTGGGGTGAGGGACACGGGGCAGTGGGGACCTGGCAGGGATGGGGGAGCAATTGGACTTGAAGATCTTCAAGGTCTCTTCCAACCAAAACGATTCTGTGATTCTATGATGATAAGAATCTAGGGGTCAAATGTCTGGTGATACCTGAGGTGCTGTAGAGTATTGGGACACAGAAGACCTGCACCCTTGAGGAGCAGCAGCTGAGGGTTGGGTGGGCTCCCAAATGGCACCTGGGTGTGGGGAACTGAATGGAGCCATCAGGCTCCCTGCCACAGTCACCATTACCCAAAACAGGGTCATCTCTGAGCACATTTAGGTGCCTCTCCAGGGAATGGAGACAGGTTCATTTCTGCTCTGAAACCATAGAATGGTTGGGAAGGGACCTTTCAAGGTCATCTACTCCAACCCCCCTGCAGTGAGCAGGGACATCTGCAGCTAGAGCAGGGTGCTCAGAGCCACATCTATCCTGACTCTGAAATGCTGCTGTCTGGAGGAATCTGCCCAAGAGGTATGTCTAAATTTGGAGGATGTTAGTGATTCTTGGGGCTGGCTCACGTGTCCATGTGTGGGTGGGAAGTGCTCTCTGAGATGCTTTCAGTCTGCCTGGGCCTCAGGAGTTTTCCCAGGAATGCTGTGTGGTGGCTGCTGGCCTCACTTAGGGAGCTCAGGTAATTTGGGACATCTCAAATAGGGGCCTGAGTGCCCAGGGTTGAACTGAGCCCCTGAAACCTCAGCTTCTTTTTTTCACATTTGGAGGAACCATCACTGAAGGACAGCAAAGAGATTATAGTTACTATTTCTCTGGGTGTCTTGGAGAGATGAAGCCCATAAATGTTATGAAATGCACTGAGGAGTAGAAGCAAGGCTAGTTCCTCCTGGTCAGAGGGCTTTTTGATACTCTCTGCTTCTAAATGAACTCCAGAAAGCACCAGGAATGATACAAACTGTTGCCAGCCCATCCTGGTGGGGTTCCAAGAAAATCAGGTGAGCCCAGAGGACATTGTCCTTTTGTGAGCTGCTGTGAAACGTTTGGTTGGAAAGGCAGAACCTCAGCAGCAGCTTTGGTAGCTGATGCTCTGCTGGCTTCTGTCAGAGGTGAGCAGGACTGAGGGCAGTGAGACTGCTCAGGAGCACTGCAGAGGGACCTGTTGTGTGACATTCTGCCCCAGACAATGCAAGGAAGTGCCACCTTTTGAAGGTGAAATGAGCTGATTGAATAGATCAGATCAGCAGCTTGGGTTCTGCTCTGAGGTTTAGGCTCTTCTACTTAACTCAGTGAACTCAGCTCATCCAGCAGACACCCCCCTCATTATTTTCTGTCTGGAAGCATCTCTCTGAAGCACATTTCAGGGACCTTGTGGCTCATTTATTTCCAGGTTGCTTGAGGCTGAGAAGGAGCAGCTGCAGGATCAGCTTCAAGAGGTCCAGGATGAGAACTGCAGACTGTACAAACTGATGGCAGAGAAAGATTTTGAAATCAAGCAGCTCCAGAAGAAAATACAGGAGGACAGATTGGCTTTGTCAGGTAAACACAGTGACTTTGTGTTCTCACACTGGTAGTTGTGCCGCTTTCTGGGTGCTGACAGAGGCAGGATGACAGATTCAGTGTGAGCTCCTGGTAGTGAAATATTTCTGTGACATCTCTTTACCTGCTTTATGCTAAAAAAGGAGTATTTTGGCCATATTGTGGTTGCCTCTGTTTCCACTCCTGTAATAAGCTTCTGCTAGGCAGAATCAAAATTCAGCTCTCAGCTAAGAGGGACCTGTTGTTTCCTGAGGCTGCAGGAATTTGCAGTAGCCCTGAAACCACTTGGCTCTGAACTTTGAAAATCCTTTGAAAAAAACTCTTACTGATAATTATATGTCCCTTAAAAGAAGTAAACTGTTCTTTTTGGGGTACTCTGTGATCTCTGCTCCTCTCAGATCTTCTGCAAACTCACTATTATTGGCACAAAAATGCCCAAGGATCCATAGAAACCAGATTTTGGAAATCTCCTCATGTCAAAGAGCAGCACTGCCACTGCCCTTGCTGTGCAGTGTTCAATTCCTTCTTCAGGCTCCTTTGGTTGGCCTGAGTAGGGCACAAGCAGGATGCTGGGAGGTGCAAAGTCCAGCTTCCAGAGGGGTCTGGTGTCCTTGGAGGGTGGAGCTGAGCAGGCTGCAGCTTCTCCACTGGGTGCCACTGTTGTTCAGGACAGCAGCCATGGCCAGGCTGGTAGGGGAGGGGGGAAACCAGCAGTGAGCAGAACTAAATAACACTTAACTGACACCTTAATTCTGGACAGCTCTCTGTAGCTTGTGTGGAGGAGACCTGATAAGCTGTTTCTGGGTCAGTATGGGGAGCCAGGTTTGGTGCTGCACCTTCCCTGGCTGACTCCTAGGCCAGTCTGTGGCAGTGTCCCCCATGCCTCCATCTCAGAATTCCCTTAGGAGCAACCTGTCATCCCTGCATCTCACCCCAGTTCTTCAACATCACCTTCACAGCTACCAGCAGAGAAGCCAACACTTCAGAGCAGGGAAGGGAAAGCGTTAAAATGAATTATAAGAGCTGAGTCCAGTCTTGATCCATCCCCCCAGGGGTTTGTTGCTGATCTCAGTGTTGAGCTGGAGATTTCTGTGGGTGTTGCATGGATCAGGGACTTGTGCAGGAACTTCTCCTCACCTGTGTGATGGGAGATAGAGCCAAGGGACACAGGAGCCAGACCTGGGGGTTACTGGATTCCTGGCACTGATCAAACCCTCTCTGATGAGGGGGTGAATGAAGTGCCTGTTTAAAAGAGCAATGAAAGGACTAATACAGCCAAGCTCCCTGGATGATCTCAAGGGACATATAAATAGGTACAATGACATTTCCTGGCTGTGATCCAGGACCCAACTGTAACAGTGTGCCTGACCTTTTGGAACAGATGTCTAGAAAAGTTCACACCTCTGTCTGAGCCACAACCAGCACAGACTGAAGTGTCACCTTTGCCTGCAATATGCCTCCAAACCCTGCTCATCACTGTCCTTCCCAGCAGTGAGCAGAGTCTCTACACTGCTGTGGCCCTTCTGACCTGTGGCTGCTGCTAGATGGTGAAGTGAAAGGACCAAGTGATCCAGCTGCAGCCACTGGTGCTTCTTTTCCCCTCAGTTGTTCATTTAAGTGCCTGGCACAGCTCTGAGAGAAATGGATTAGACAAGAAAAGTTCATTGTGCCCTGGACAGAGAACAAAACCCCTCATCTGCTCTGAAGCTTGCCTGTAAGAGATGTCCTTTGCTTTCATGTGTGCTTTCCAGGGGCCTCTGGTTTAGCTGGAGATGTTGCAGCTGCTAAAATAGTTGAACTGGCCAAAAAGAATCGTGAGATAACTGCTGAGACTGAGAGTGAAAGAGCCAAAGTGAAGCAGCTGAATAACAAAGTCAAGGAGCTGGAGAGAGAAGTGAGGTGTTCTTCTTCTTTGTGTTCCATGTTAAGCCATAGAAATCCAACTTTTGGGGCAGAGGAGCTGTAGAAAACTGGGTTGGATTCCTGTTCCCAGCTTGGATTTGCTCATGCAGCCACGCTTGCTTTGAGTTCTTGTCATCTGTATGACAGGAGGGAGGGATGTTTTTCTGGGGTTTATTTTTTTTCAATTTCATGCTATTAAGTCTTACATTCCCACCTTGTTAATACCAGTCATGAATGAGTGCTCTGTTCTTCAAAGCTTTCTTCATCCAGGTAGTGAAAGGTGTTTTCTGGCATCAGTGATTCCAGAACTGAGACAGTAACAAACTCTACCACGTGAGACAGCAAATCTTCACCCAGAGAAATTCATTTTCCTGGCTAATCAGGACTGTTTTAGATGTTGCTAGCCTTTCACAGGAATCATTTTACTCCAGTGGCTGCTGAAATGAGAATTAGATGCCCTGATGTCAATGTTTATTTTGTTCCTTGGCTGCCACTGCTCTTCCTTAGACAATACTGCTTAAGAGTTGGGATATTTTGTAGTGCCTTTTTTTTTTCCTGCACTTTGCTTCCTTAGAAGACATCATTTAAATGGGTCAATAATGTTTAGCATGCTGACAAAATGCATTTTGACCCCATCTTTCACAGCCACTTATTCTCATGAATCATGCCTCTGTCTGAATTGTGCCCTAGTTACCTGAAAGATCAAGAAATGGCAGATTCAACTTTAGAGAACTGCAGAAATCTGGAGTGTTGTGGGCTTGGCAAACACTTGGCAGACTGGCTAAGGAATTATCAGGTGTAGCTGGGGACCTACAAAATCACCCAAGTAAGGGAGTGAGTCCTGGGTAATTTCAAGAAAGCTCAATTTGGTTCTGACCCCCTACTGCAGAAATGTAATGACTGTTAGTCAAATAAAATACTGTCAGATATTGACCCAAAAGAAAGGACCACAGACATTTCAGGAAAGGAAATCAAACTCCAAGCAAACAGAAGGTTTCAGGAGATGATAATTGCTGGTTAGAGCAACGTGGACATTTAGATATGACCCAATCTGTCCTTAGACACCAAACCCAAACACCACAACCTGTCTCATCTCAGGTACAGGTGAATCACAACGTGAACCCCACTGAAACCATGGTCAGTGGTCCACCCACCCACATTTTCCACCCACCTCCAAGAATGAAGACCCAGCCCCCTAAAGCAACACTCCCTGGCCTTTTCAGCTCCAAATTCTCTGCACCTCCATCCAGGAAGAAGTCTTTGCAGCCTCAACCTCAACCCAGGACCTGGTTCAGAGCATGAGAGGCTGTAAATTCCAGAAAATTTTTCTTTTTTTACAGGAAAAAAAAAAATGTACAGGGGATTTTCCAGACAAATCCCCTGTAAAATCTCCCAGAAGTCTCCCTATTTGATACCTGATCCCATCTCAGATAGTCCAGAGATATTTCCACTGAAGTTATTCCACAGTAAAATAACACATGCTTCTTTGGGAAGCATTTTAGGGAAAAATATTATATGCTTTCCTACTGATTTGGTTTAAAAAACAAGGGAAAAGGAAGTGTTTTCATTTTTCTAGAGTAAATATCCATGTTGTATTTCTTTGCTAACTAATATTCCATGGATTATGCTCTTCACTGTATTCATTTTATAATCACAATGCATTTTTTTTTCCAGCTACAGACAGCCCTGGATAAAATCCACTCTCTTGGTGGTGGTGATGCAGGAATCAGCCAATCAACTCTGAAGATGATAGAAGAAAACTTGGTACAGATTCTAATTGAAGAGGGGAAATCAGAAGCTGCTACTCAGTTGTCTCCTGTTGTGCCATCCTTTCCCTGTGGCAAGCTTGTGTCCCTGTCAGTAGATTTGTGACCCAGTTGTTCCATTTGCACCTTCTCTGTCACCCCAAAAATTAGGGAAGGCGTTTGCATGGGTCTGGGAAGGAAAGATTCTGTGATCCTGAGGGATCTATGCATCTTAATCACTTCTTTTTCCCCTCCAGCTTCTGTCCTTACCAAGTATGTTCTTGTTTTCAAAGGCTGAAAGCCCAGAGGTGAAAGCACTGCAAGAAAAACTGACCACAGCCAACTTCAAAGTGCTGGAGTATCGTAACCAGCTCCAGACTGCCAGACAGGAGCTGAAGATGGCCCAGAAGGTACAGCTGCAAGCTGCAGTGAGGTGTCTGAGTGAATGGAAGGGGCTAAGGAAAGACAGGGGTGTGGTGGTCACAGTGGGCAGGTACAGAATCATGGGACAGGAGAATTGTTCAGGTTGGAAAAGACCTTGGAGATCCTGGAGTCCAACTGTTCCCCCAGCACTGCCAGGTCCCCACTGCCCCGTGTCCCTCACCCCACATCTCCACAGCTTGGGAACCCCTCCAGGGGTGGGGACTCCACCACTGCCCTGGGCAGCCTGGCACAGCCCTGGACAACCCTCCAGGGCAAGAAATTGTTCCGCAGGAGCAACCTCAACCTCTCCTGGGGCAACTTGAGGCTGTTTCCTCTTGTCCTGTCCCTTGTCCCTTGGGAGCAGAGCCCGACCCCCCCCTGGCTCCAGGCTCCTGTCAGGAGCTGTGCAGAGCCAGAAGGTCTCCCCTGAGCCTCCTTTGCTCCAGGCTCAGCACCCCCAGCTCCCTCAGCTGCTCCTCCCCACACTTGGCCTCTAGACCCTTCCCCAGCAGCTCCGTTGCCCTTCTCTGTCCACACTCCAGCCCCTCAAGGTCCTTCTGGGAGTGAGGGGCCCAAGCTGCACATGGACACAGGTTCCATGCTCTGCCACCACAGCTGACTGACTGCCCAGTGTTTCTCTCTCTGTGATGGGTGAAGGTTCTTCTCAGAGGGGAAGTCCCAGTTCAGCAAAACAGCTTTGGGATTGACTTGAAGCAGACATCCAGCCCCACTCCTCCTTCCCAAAACACTTAATTATGCCTTGACTTTTGATGGAGTCTTGTTTAAGCAGTTTGTTGGAGTGACATCCAGAGGAACCTTTTCTCCCTTGATTCCTGATGGATTTTGAAGTGTTACTACATGCCCTGTTTCCTTTGGGTTTATTACCTTACATAAGAGACCTGCAATGCAGATCAGAGCAGAGAATGTGGGCCTAAAAATAGAACTCTGCTGACCTTTTTATAAATAATTTAAATGCTCTTCATACTAACTTGAGCTCTCCTTAATGTGGCTGTTGTGTTGGAATGGTGCAAGAGAGATTGGCTCCATTCCTGATTGCAAGGGTGTGTGTTAATACAGCATCTCTACCCTGTTCCTGTTGAGTTCTGGTGAAGTATTCATTGGATCAAAATGACTTAATTACACTGAAAACTATTAGGAATGCTTCCTACACCTTGGTGGTGAGTTTGAAGTCCTCTCTGTTCCAGGAGTAGCAGAGTTGGACACTCTCCATAGGCAGGCAGGAAAACACAGATTCATGTTTTGTGAAGAGTAAAGAATAACACTTAAACTGATCAAAATACTGAATTCCCACATTCACCAGTGAAACCATTGTTAGCCAAAATCCTCCCAGCCACCACCATTCTGTCTTTAATGATCTCAAAGACCTCCCATCAGAACATCAGACAGTTGTGCTGGTTGGAAGGGACCCTGGAGAGGATTGAGCCCAGCCCTTCCCCCATCCCTGCCAGGTCCCCACTGCCCCATGTCCCTCACCCCACATCTCCACAGCTTGGGAACCCCTCCAGGGGTGGGGACTCCACCACTGCCCTGGGCAGCCTGGCACAGCCCTGGGCAACCCTCCAGGGCAAGAAATTGTTCCTCAGGGGCAACCTCAACCTCCCCTGGGGCTACTTGAGGCTGTTTCCTCTTGTCCTGTCCCTTGTCCCTTGGGAGCAGAGCCCGACCCCCCCCTGGCTCCAGGCTCCTGTCAGGAGCTGTGCAGAGCCAGAAGGTCTCCCCTGAGCCTCCTTTGCTCCAGGCTCAGCACCCCCAGCTCCCTCAGCTGCTCCTCCCCACACTTGGGCTCTAGCCCCTTCCCCAGCAGCTCCGTTGCCCTTCTCTGTCCACACGCCAGCCCCTCAAGGTCCTTCTGGGAGTGAGGGGCCCAAACTGCCCCCAGGATCTGAGGTGCAGCCCCAGCAGTGCCAAGCCCAGGGCACACTGAACATCAGATGCAGGCCACTGTGTACAGATCCAGTGTTTTGTGTTTGTTGCTGGGGAGTGCAGCTTTTCCTCCCCTCTCCCCTCAGGTGTGTTTCAGCCCAGCTCCCTGTTGCTGTGAACCCTTTTTCCCACAGCTCTTGGCCAGTGAAGCTGGTGAAGATGTGAATGTTCAAAGTCTCTTGGCCAATCCTGGCAGCTGGCGTGGGCGAGCCCAGCAAATCCTTGTTCTCCAGAGCAAGGTGAGTTAAGACCCTGCATGGTGCCCTGTCAGCTGGGTGCTGGAATGCTCTGAGTGTAGATATCCCCTCTGTTGGAGTGAAAGATGCTGTTAGTTCTTCATTAAAGTGATTCTTAATATCCCTACCTGCTTATAAAGCACATCCCAGTACAAACAGTGTGTGCTGCAACCAAACAGCCAATCTTTTCTCTGTTGAAGAGATCAACTGTTAGAATAAAACACTTTATCCTCACTTTTTTATAGTAGTTTTTTTGGTGTGTTTGTGTGTGTGATGGTGAGGTGTTAAGTTTTAAATGTGTTGGGTGTGTGCAGGGTCTTTCAGAGTTCCTGTAAACAATATGAATTATCATTTCAATTATGGAAGCTCTGGAATTCAAATTCCTGGTTTCTGGGAATCTGGCTCTGGATTCTGGGAATCTGGCTCTGGATTCTGGGAATCTTTCACCTCTGTGTTGAAGGAGGGAGCTCAGTGACCTTGCAGAGGTGTAGTTAAAACCCCAGGGTGTTTTGGAGGTGCCTCTCTCCTCTGAGTACAGAAGGAGCCCTCTCAGGGTCTGTGCTCTGACTGGGACACTTAGAAGTTGTTCCCTCAGGAACTTCAGTAGAATCTTTAACTCCTGAAGCTTCTGAAGGGCACAGTGTAGCTGAAATGTCACCTCGAGTCAGGGTGGCAGTTTTGTCTGTCTCTTAAAACTTCTCTGGGGCAATTTGAGACATAGTTTTCCTGGTTTTCTGCTTTTTTATTGCCACCAAACTGTGATTTTTGGCCCTCTGGCTAAAATTGATAACCTCTGATAACCTCAGCTTGTCCTTCTGTTGGACCCCCTGGCTGGGATTCATCTGAAGTCTGCACCTCCTGTGCTCTAATGTGGAAACTTTCTGAGCCAGTCTCCTCAGGCCACTTCTGTAGCCAGTGGGGAGCTTGTAAATAGTCACTGGGTGAAAAGTGAGGTGGGTGCCTCTTATCTGAGAAGACACCTGCAGAGCAGGGCAGAGGAACTGGGCTGTAGCAGTGCCCACTTCACAGAATCACAGAGTCATAGCATGGTTTAGGCTGGAGGAGACCTTTAAAGGTCATCTGGTCCAGCCCCTGCAGTGAGCAGGGACATGGACAACCAAATCTGACTTAACCAGATCTCCTCCTGCTGCCTGAGGAGTCTGCAGAGTAGCTGAGAGGCAGGGACTGAGTCCACTTGACTGCATGTAGGTGTCTGATGCCATCTGAGATGCTGTGGAGTGTCCCTCTGACCTCTGGTCATCTCTCCCAGAGCTGTCTGGATGTCTTGAACATCCTGCATCATGTGTCTCCAGTATCCCAGGGCATCTAAACCAGCACTAGGTGCCTGTGTTCAGGCCAGTGAATTGTGGACATCCTGGAGGGTGATTCTGCTCAAGACCAAGATGCTTTATGGGTGTCTACCCTTTTAGAGGAGATCTGAGGTATGATTCTGGTGCTCACGTGTGTTCAGTGGCACTGAAGGTGCTTGGGAGTGTCTGCCTGGCCTCCACATGTGGCTCCAGCTCTCCTGGAGGTCTTGGTGTCCTACCTCCTCCCTTCACAGATGCCACAGACTTCTCCACCAGCCCCTGCTCTGTGTCACTTCACCCCCAGAACGTCCAGAGGTGATGTGATGCTGTTCTCTGGGCTCCCTTTGGGTCCATCCTGCTCGGTGCTGGGCCTCTGTGCTGCTGGAGAGGGCTCTGGATGAGCTGTCCCCATTGTCCCCTAGGTTCGAGAGCTGGAGAGTCGTCTGAGTCAGGACAAGAGCAGCAGGGAGGGGGCTGAGGAGCTGCTGGAGCTGAGTGACCCAAGGAAGCTCTCAGCCCAGGAGAGGAACTTCTCCAAGATTCGCAGCTTGGAGAAAGAAAAGAAGGAAACTTTAGAGGTAAAACACATGAGCTGAGTCCTGTCTGGGTGTTGGGTGTGCTGCACCTTCAGGGTGGGGGTTCCAGCCTGCTAGGAGACCATTTCAGAGGCCACCTCATCTTCTGGAGGAGGTTCTGTGCTTCTTAGGCTCAGCAAAAGGCCTGAAGGTGTGGAAGGAAGAAGAGCCTCTTCTCTGTAGCCTCCCCCTGCCCCTGGGGTGCATCCTCCATGCAGTGTTCAACACAAATATCTTGAGTAGAGGGGTCAGCTACACGTGTTCAGGTCAGCAGAGCACTTCTCCCTGGACTTGTGCATTGCTGCTGAGTGGCAGCACTCTCCCTGGCCAGCTCCAGCCAGGTGAAGGCTGGGAGCATAGAAGGATTTGGGTTGGAAGGGACCTTAAAGCTCATCCAGTCCAACCCCCCTGCAGGGAGCAGGGACATCTGCAGCTAGAGCAGGGTGCTCAGCGCCCCATCCAACCTCCCCTGGGATGGTTCCAGGGATGGGGCAGGTCGCTGGCTCTGCTGTGCTGAGGACTCCAGAGCGGCCCCAGCACTGCAGGGGGGTCTCCCAGAGCTGGCAGAGGGCCAGGATCCCCTCCCTGCCCTGTGCCCACGCTGCTGGGGGGGCTGCTGGGCTGAGGGTGTGGAAGGCACAGCTCAGGGGACAAGGAAAAGCTCTGGTGGACAGTGTGGCATCACCACCCTGTATCTGGAAGGAGGAGAGATTCCCCATGGAGAAGAATGAGGCAAATGGAAAAGCAGAAGCCCACAGAATTAGGTTTCATCAGAAGATTATCATTTTCTTCCTGCCACATAGTGAATTAACTTAGCCCACTCCCAGTCCTAGCAGACAGACCTTTTTTGGTGCTGGCAAGCAGGCAGTGAGGAGTTGTGTTTATAATTTCTATCTTCTTAGGGCTGATCTGGGTGTTCCAGGTCCATTTTTTAGCTTCCACCAGGCAACGTGGGATGTCTTTAGCTCACCAGAGCACCTGAGGCTTGGGGAGAGGCTGTAACTGCCCTTTCCTCTGATGTGTTTGCAGAAACTCTCTGGGGAACATGATGCTCTCCAAAAAAGCCATGAAGAAGTGAAGAAAAAACTGGAGGCATCAAAAGCCAGGAACAAAGTACTGTGCAGTGAAGTGAAAACCCTGAAGGGACAGATTACAACCTTGCTGGAGAAAGGAAAGCATGATGATGAGCTCATAGATGCCTTACTGGTATGCTCTGAATGTTTCTGTTGGTCCCAGCTCCTGCAGATCCTCTGTGAGTGCTGAAACATGATGTCACTTAATGACACAGTGGCACAGGGGCCTGATGAATCAAACTGACAGCCAGAATTTCCTCCTCAGCTGAAGCCCTTCTGCATTTTGGATCAGCTTTTAAAGGCTGTAAGTCAGCACCAGGCATGGCACAGTTGCAGTCCAAGGGCTCTGAGCCAACAGGATTTTGCAGGAGTGAAATGGGCTTGTCTGGGAGGCAGAGGAGGAGCTTCATTCCTGAGCCATGAAGCTGGGCTGTATTCCCTGTCCTGCTTTCAGCTCCACAGGGAGATGTTTGCTTGGGAAGGAGTGATGAACCTGTTTGATCCCTTCCCTCAAAGCAGCACCTTGCTTGCAGTTTGGTGGCCAGCTAGAACAAATTCCCTGACAAGTGTTAGAATTCTGAGTGTAAGAACAAAACCCCAAACCCCCTGACCAAACAGCCTGGCCTCACAGCTGCCATCTCACACTACCCTCATCTTTTAATGCCACTATCACCCAGTCTGATCATGTTGTCATTTCACACACAAGCAAACTGTCCTCTACATTTATCCAGTTTATGGAGAAGTCACCTTCTCTGTCACAGGCCAGCCTTCTTCCCTCTCCTCTCTGCTACACTGGGTAGCAAAGCTGCCAGCAAACTCAATCTCTCCATTGCTCAGGTCTTTTCTCCTTCTCACTCATTGTTCCTGTTTCTTCAGAGCCAGCAGAAGCAAATGCAGGAGATCTTAAAGCACCTGAGCCAGCAGGATGAGAAGAACAAGGAGTCCCAGCAGATGCTGGGGCAGCACTTGAACAGTGAGGTTCAGAAACAAAACTGCCTCATAGAGCAGCTCAGACAGCTGCTGGCCCAACGAGAAGCAAAGGTCAAAGAGCTGGAAGAGGAGATTGGGCAGCTCAGACTTCAGGTAGAGTCAGAAGACATTAACTGGAGGAGCACAGTTTATGATCCTTTTATGGTATTAGCATATTAGATGTTCTTCCACTTCCATCTCTCCTGCTATTTGTGATGGTTGCTGGCTTGAGACACCAACACCTGCCCTACTGATAGCTCCTCCTCCTCTCCTGGTGGAATGATAAGACAGGAATTCTCTCCTGTAACTCTTCTTTCCTGCTTGAAGCTAACTTTTCTTCAAGCTTTTTCCTTCAGACTCTTCTTCTCCACGTGGCTTTGTAGAACTGTGCCTCTTGACTGTGCCACAAGGGCTGCAGTGGGCACATCTCAGCCCTCAGCACCCTTGGCTGCTGAAGGAAGCCAGCAAACAACCATGGGCAAGGCCAACATCAGCAGGCTGCTGCTGCCCAGCCACATCCCCTCATGCAGTGCTGGGGCCCCTACTAAGTTATTCTCATGGCCTGGAAACCACCTCAAAAACTTCCTCAGCTCTCCAGGCTATCAGCAGGAGCCTGATGGGTCTCAGGTGTATGGGAATTTCATTGTACAGAGGAAAGAATTGGGAAGGTTGGTCCTTTATGGGCTCATATGGTAAAAATGTTTTCAGGTTTTGTGGTCTGATGTTGCCAACTGACAGATCACACCCACTGAGCTGCCAAAGGCTTCTCCTGGGGGCTGGAATCTCATTGGAATATTTAGAGATGCAATTCCCATTGGTATAAAACCCTTGCTGGGTTGTGGTGAGACTGTGGATCTGTTGGATCCCTCAGTAATGGGAGCTGGAGCACTGAGCCCAAGGTAAAGCTTGGGTTAGGGACACAAACCAGCTGTGGTGGGGCTGCACTGGGGGTTCTCTGGCAAGAAGAACCCTGTGATTTCACAGGACACTGCACTTTTGACTGACTTTTGCTTTGTTTCCATCCTGCAATGGATAGAAACTCTTCTGAGGAGGGCCAGTAAATCAAAACTTCTGGCCTGCTTGTAGCAATAATCCTGCCCTGCTGATTTGGCACTGATGCAGCTATTTCCCTTTGAACTGTGCAATCAGTTTTATAACCTGCTCCAACATTAACAGAAGAAATCTGCCCATCAAGGGGAGGACAGTTCAGGAGCTGCTGCTTCACCCCCTTCAGAGCACTCAGAAGATCCAGGTTTCACTCTGCTGAATCCTTTGCCATCAGGCAGCAATCAGGTTGGAAGGATTGGATCTGCTTGGTAAGAAGACCCTACTGTCAATGTTTAAAATGATGCTGGGACATCCAGAAGCAGCATTTTGCCAAACAATTGCACCAAACCCCACGTGCTGTGTGCCAGCAGCTGGGGCAGCCTCTTTACAGCCTGGGGGAATCTCTCATCACATTATCTCTTGGACTTTTGTCCTGGAACAGAGCAAGATACACTGACTTGCAGACATTTGGCATGGTGGTAGTGCTGCTAACTCTCTCCCTCCAGCTCAGATGGTGTTTATGTGGGTAGCTTAAGTGCCTGTGATCCTTCTCTCTTAGGAAAAACAGGGTTTCTAATGAGCAGGGTGGCAAATTAATACAGAACACCATTTTAGGTAAGCACTACATCCCTGGCACATCATTTCAATCAATGAAGATGCTCTGAGTAGGATTTTCTTGCAGAAATGTTGAAAACCCACCACGTGGTTTGTTCTTAATTGAAGAATTAAGTGAAGTTTGTTCTTTTCAGGCTTCACTGAGGACTGTGTGAATCACACTGCTCTTAATACAGCAGTAAATCTGAGTCTTGTTTACACTGATGTGACTGAGAGCAAGTTCTAGCCTCTCCTGTTAAAGTGCTGAGGAGTTCATGGTCTCATTGATGAGGGAGATTTGACTCTGGTTTCCTGAAGGAAGGAGGAAATTTTTCATCAAGTTTCAGCTGATTTCTCCTGTGTCATTTTAACTTGCCTACCACAGTATTTTAGACCCTGAATTCAGCTGAGCCTCAGCAATGAATGGGCCTGAAAACTGTTTAATAACCTGGGCAGCAAGCCTCACTCCTTCCATTAACTTTAATATGCTGATGAACTCTGTTCCATTTCACTCCAAATCATCTTTTTTCTGTTGGGAAAGATGAAATGAAAAATGCTATAAATAGGAACTAAAAACCCTTGGAGATGTGGAAGTAAAAAAAAAATGTGTGTTGTTAGACTGGGCTGTTTCTGTCCTTATCAAGCTTAACTTGATTTTAGGATTAATCACTCCTAGCCTAGAGGGCAGCTCTGCCTGTTCCACAGTGTTAAGGCCTCATCCTCTTCTCAGCCCAAAGAAACATGGGCTGAGACTCCAGGGATTTGTCTTTAGAAAGCTGAGCTTAAGTTTGGAAAACACACTTTAGGGTTTTACATCCTAAGCCCACATAAAACTCATCCAGACAGGAGGTGATACTCTGGTGTTATCAGTTGACTCCTGGCCTTACAGCAGCCAGCTTGTCAAGTCTCTCTGAGATCACTACAAAAAACTATATCAAGTGTATTTTTAATGGGAATTTGGAGATAAAAGTTCTGCACCATGTTGCAGAACAGGGGTTCTGTTGGTTAGTTAGCATGCAGTGTTCAAACCCCATCAAACAAGCACAGGAACCTCTGCTGGTCCCTCACCCTCCTGGGTGAGGTCATTAAATCATAGCATCCTTTGGGTTGGAAGAGACCTTGAAGGGCATCAAGTCCAACCATCAACCCATCACTGTTAAGGCCACCACTGCCCCGTGTCCCTCACACCACATCTGCACAGCTTGGGAACCCCTCCAGGGGTGGGGACTCCACCACTGCCCTGGGCAGCCTGGCACAGCCCTGGGCAACCCTCCAGGGCAAGAAATTGTTCCTCAGGGGCAACTGAAACCTCCCCTGGGGCAAATTGAGGCTGTTTCCTCTTGTCCTGTCCCTTGGGAGCAGAGCCCGACCCCCCCCTGGCTCCAGGCTCCTGTCAGGAGCTGTGCAGAGCCAGAAGGTCTCCCCTGAGCCTCCTTTGCTCCAGGCTCAGCACCCCCAGCTCCCTCAGCTGCTCCTCCCCACACTTGGGCTCTAGACCCTTCCCCAGCAGCTCCGTTGCCCTTCTCTGGCCACGCTCCAGCCCCTCAAGGTCCTTCTGGGAGTGAGGGGCCCAAAACTGCCCCCAGGATTTGAGGTGCAGCCTCCCCAGTGCCCAGCCCAGGGGGACAATCCTGCCCTGCTCCTGCTGGCCACACCAGTGCTGATCCAGGCCAGGATGCTGAGTGCTCTGTGTCCAAGCAGTGCCTGTGAGGGGACAGCAGCAGTGGCTGCCTGTGGGGCTGGGGGCTCAGCTGGAGCCCAGCAGGATGGAGAGCTGTCCCTGTGACATGGAGCTCCACAGTGGTGGTCTGGAGGACCACCAGAGTATCCCCAGGAGCTCAGGGATCAGGCACTGAGGGATGGTTCTTGTACACTGGTGACAGGAGGTGGTTTTGCAGCATGTTTTGGAGCTGGGGAGCAAGCTGAGGTGCTGTGTGGGTGTGTGATACCCACTCAGGAGGCTCCAGGAGTCAAGGCAGCAATAGACAGTGGCAAGTGATGGGAATTCTTGGAGGCCTGGGTGCTTGACCAAGCTTTCTTCCTCCCAGCACAGTGTCCAGCATGGGCCACACTCTTGTAGAGTCAGCAGCTACCAAGCCTTCCCTTCTTGAGAGGGACATCTCACCTGGAAGGTAAGAACCCAACCTTCTGCAGCAGCCAGGGAGCTTTCCAGACCTGCTGGCAACCCCCAGCCTCAGCTGCCTTGTTCCTGTACCAGGCAGCTGCTTTCTCCACCCTCTCCACCTGCTTCTGGTGGCTTCTGGCTGGCTTAATTTTTGAATTGATTGCTCGTTTTACGCCTCATAAATCCCATTTTCCCCTTTGCACTTCCAATCACCAAGACTTCTCCTGCTTTTTTTGCTCTAAAAGTCTGAGGACTCCCTTGTGGAGAGGCTGGAGAAGCAATGAAGGAGGTAATAATGGGAAAACTCTCCCTTCCTTTTGTCACCTGTTGGGCACAAGAACAATTCCAGGGGGAGAAAATGAACAGCCTGTCATTGAACAGCTTAACACCGTGGGGAACCCACACAGACCTCCTTTAATGTGGTGATGGGGGCGAGTTGCTGACAGCCAGCTGATCCAAGGGGGCACTTTTTTTTTTCCAAGGAAAGGAAGATTTTCCTAATGAAACCCTCCGTGGCTTCATTTCCACCTCTTTCTGTCCCCTGCCTTGCAGTGCAGAGCTGGGTGCTGGGGGGAGGTAGTGAGCCTGCCTCTGCCTCCTGCCTGCCTTCAGACAAGGGCATTTCCATACGTTTGGGGTTTTTTTGTTTGTTTGCTTCAACTCCTGCCTTTGTTTCCTCCCTTTCCTTTGTGAAACGGGCGACAGCCTCACACCCACTCTGCTCTTTCAGGCTGGCCGGCAGGGACAGCCCAGATGTGCCCAGACAGAGCAGAGAGCACAGGGCTCTCTGCCAGGCTGCTGAGCTGGAGAGGGACAGGCTGCTGGAGCTGCTCACCGTGCTGCAGAGGAGGTACCTGCTCCTCCTCCCAGCCCCCTGGCTGGGGAGCTGGAGGGGGGGGGGGAGAGCTCAGGGGGTGCAGTGCAGAACCCCACACCCTGCCACTGGGATCCTTGCCTTGCACAGGGGCTTTTCAGTTCTTGCTGCTCCATTTCCCTGCTCAGGGATGGTTCATTTATTTTTTTTTTCCCTATTATCCTTGTAGAACAAAGGGAAGAAAAAATGGGAGTCGTCTTCAAGCTGACTAAAATGAAAATTCCTTTATTTCTCTCTGTGTGGCATTATTTAGGCAGCAATATTATCCACCAGTAGTAAATTCTGTAATGATAGGTACAATCTGACTTCTCTCCCCAAAGCTTTCCCCATTCTTTTAAGTTTCACCCTTTGAAATTCATTTCTTTTGCTTTAACTGAAGCAGAGTGGTGATTTCTTTCCTCTATTATTCAGTCCACTGATGATGTTAAAAGCTAACTATATTTTAAGAGAAAAGGAGGAAAAAAAAAAAGTCTTTTCTCTTTAGATACCTTTCAGCTACTGCTTTTTTTGTCCTGGTTAGAGAATGTATATTATTTGATTCCCAAATCTATATTCCAGCTTGTGGGTCTCTGTGCTTTTGAATACAATAGGCCCCAGCTGCTTGCTTGCTTTATTTCACACTCATCATCATTTCTCACTTGTCTAACTTAATCACAGTCAGAAAAAAATGCTTTTTTTTTTAATTATAAACACAGAAAAATCCTTTTAGTGTGATAAAGGCATCACCCCCCCCATGCTTTTAAGGGTTAAATCCTGGAATCACACACCAGGAGGATCTGATTTGTGTTTGCAAGCCCAGTGAGTTTAATAGAGCTGTGCAATTAGGGATGGAGGTGTGATTGAGGGCCAAAATGGGGCCATCACAAACATGGGATGATGAAGAGCTCAGTGAATGAAATGCACAGTGGCTTGTAAAACGTCCCACAGAGCAATGATTCAGCAGCTCCCCAGTCACCAGGCATTTATCAAGAGCTCCTGCAGGTAAAGTAAATTTGGTGAGATTGCATGTAATAAGTCTTGGAAGCCCTCAGGAGTTGTATTTCAACAGGAAGAGGTGTTAAAATATAAATAAAGGAGGCATTCCCCCTCTTCCCTTCCCCCTGCTGAGGGACAGGGAAGAGCCAGAGGGACACTGTAGTTCAGAAAATTTAATAAAACCCAACTAGCCTTGGTGGTTTTTAATGTGGCTGCTACAGGAACTCCTGGCCCAAGGGAAGTTGGGTGAATTCAGAACCACTGAGAGAAATCCTCATGCCTCCCAGCAGCTCCCCAGCCTGGCAGTTCACTGCCACAGGGGGCCAGAGCTTTGCCTCTAGCTAGATTTTTAAGACAGTGATATAATTTTATTACAGTTGTGATATTTTTTTAGTTATACCACCTAGGTGGGCACTAAGACTAATCAAATCTTGGGTTTCAATCAAACCAATCTCTTGATTCAGGGGGTAATCAGCTGTCACCCCTGGGGTCAAGAAGGGAATTCTTTTATGCTCCACTCTCCCACAGTGAGTCAATTCAGGTTTCCCTTCAGCTTCAAACTCCTTTAAATCCTTTGTTCTCAGGTGCTGCCCCCCAGGAGAGACTCATTTCCAGCATCTGGGGGCACACATCAGCTTTTGGTTGCTCATTTCCTAAGAGAGGGTGCAGGGTGAATGGAGGGAATGAACCATCACCTTCTTTTCCACTCACTAAAGGCCAAGTTTATTAAAAGCAACAGCAGGTTTCTTTTCTGACTTGCAGATAACTGACACAAAGCAGCTGAATGCTGGGCAGTGTTTTGATAAACTCTTCTCCTTCCAAATTTTTGCAGAGTGTTTAAAAAAAAAAAAACACCAAAAAAAAAAAGGTGTTTATTTTCCCTGTGATAAAAGATCTCTCCTCAGGAATCTAGCTCAGCTCGAGCTGACTTTTAAACTCACCCAAGTAGCCAGCATTGAGGGATCAAGCAGCCTCCACTCATGAACCCATTATTTCTAGCTGTACTCATTAGTTAATTGTCTTTGGCAGATTTGGAGGATGTCCTCAGGAACAGTTGCCCTGGGATTGCTGCCTTTGGGTGCACAGAAAATTCCCCTTTTCCTTCTGCAGGATGAAACAGGGTTCAGCATTGGGAGTGATCCTTCACAATCAGGACACAAGCTGAATTCCCTTTTTTTTTGGCTCTCAGGGTGGAGGAAGGCACCAATAAAGTCTTGGAAGCTGAGAAGAAGCTTCAGGAAGAGCGACGGCGGCGTGGCCTCGTGGAACAGCAGCTTGAAAAACTGCAGGTGGATGCAGGGAGGACCACAAGTGCACAGAAACCTCCCCTGAGGGGCAGAGCAGGTGAGGTGGAGCCCTTCCCTACCCCCACCCCCCTGGCCCACCTCTGTGGTTAACAGCAGCAACAGCTGGACTCTTCTCTAGCAAACCTCCCCCAGTGCTTTGACCAGTGGATCAATCACAGAAAGTGCAAAAAATCCTGGCCCCACTTAATTCAAGAGGATTTCCCCCCAGATTTAAGTGGGACCAGGGGTTTTGCAGCATGTTTTCATAGGCTGGGAGGCTACAGCAGAATCCTGGCACTGCTCTGTTGCCCCCATGCCTGCTGCTGCCTTCCCCTTCTGCCTGAGGGACTCCTCTGAAGGTTAAGAGCAGAATGAAAGGACACATCCCAATTTAAGGCCTGTCAGTGGCTATGAAAAACTCTTGCTGGTGATGAAGTAATTAGAGCTGGTGTAATTTATTATCCCATGAAGGTGATAATCTCCTGCTATAAATATGAAAGCCTCACTTGCATAGTTAAAGGAGAAGAATTCATGGTGGATGTTAATTTTTTATTTCCCTGATCAGACCCTTTTATTGCTGCAGGACTCTGATTCTGTGAAGTGTCTAAACCAATAAAATGGCACATATTCTTAAGGAAACTTTTCCACTGGTTTCCCTTTTTAATATGTATTTTCACAAAGCAAAAAGGCTTCAAATTCCAGGATGTGGACAGTAGGAATAGGAATTCCCATTTGGCAAATACTGGGATGCCATCAGACTGAGTTATGGTGATTAGAGGGGTCACAAGCCTTAGCAGAGACCTTGTACAAGCTCTTGGCCACTCTGAAACACATGATCTTGGGTCTTAGGGGGCTAGAATAAGGGACATCTGCAGCTAGAGCAGGGTGCTCAGAGCCCAGACCAACCTCTCCAGGGATGGGGCAGTGACCACCTCTCTGGGCAGCCTGGGCCAGGGGGTCACCACCCTCAGGGTAAGAAATATCTTCCTTTTCTCTAGTCTCAGTCTCCCCTCTTTTAGTTTAAAACCATCCCCCCTTGTCCTGTTGCAACAAGCCCTGCTCAAAAGATTGTCCCCATCTTTCTGGCAGCCCCCAGCAGGTCTCCCCAGCTGGAGCCTTCTCCTCTCAGCTGCCCCAGCCCAACTCTCTCCTGCTGGGCTCCCAGCAGAGGGGTTCCCCCCTCGGGGCATTGCTGGGGCTCCTCTGGCCCCATTAGAGCAGGTCTATGTGTTTCCTGTGCTGTGGACTTCAGAGCTGGATACAGGAGTTCCTTAGATCCACTCCTTAGAGCAGCACTGGTGTGTTCTTGGGCTCCAGCCAACACTGACCCATTCTCATGTGTTTTTCTGTGAGATTTTTAGAGCTTACCTGTATTAACTGAGAGGCTGACAGCTGAAAAAGCAGTGCAGAAAAACTCAGATCATCACAGAAACCTAGTGCTTAGAAACCAAGTGCTACAACCTTTGGGGGACATCTTGGTAAGAGAGCAGTGCTGGGCCCCACAGGAGTGACACTGGGGGGTGTCCTCTGTGATTCCCAGGAGGGTTTGGGGCTGAGGGGTTTTGGAGCCCTCATATGGTTCTGCAGATGGGAACTGTACTTTTGAGGGCTCAGACTTCACAACCTGGTCGTGTCAAGCCTTGGTGTGTGGTCCTGTTATCATGGATGTTCTCCTCTCAGACTTCCCTGGCAGCCTCAAGGGGATACAGTGACAAACTCCCCAGGTCCTGAGCCACTGTGGCCAGAGCTGTGCTGTGGTAACTCACCTCTAGGGGATGGCAGATGGTTCTTACCAGTGTGACAGGGTCCTTCTCACTAAATATTTAGTTACTTTTAGTCTGTTCTGCTTCAGGATTAAAAGTAACTGTAGAAAAGGGTTGGTAGTAAGACTAAGAAGAAGAAATCCACTCAAAGTCCATCAGATGAGGGGGTAACAATCCATTTCCCCACCCTTCTCTGAAGAGAGCTCAGCCCCAGACTCTCTGGAGTTGGTACAATAAATAGAATCATAAAATCCTTCAGGTTAGAGGAGACCTTTAAGATCATCAAGCCCAACCATCAAGCCAAGATTTGAGTCCAAAAGTCTGTAACACACCCCTTCAGCAGAGCACACAGGTTATCTGCACACTCTCCTGCCAGAGAGCTGAGGAGATAAGAGGGAATTAAAAGCCTGAGTATAAAATAGAGACTGGAGAACCCATTAATGAACATAATATTTTCTTTCTTTCTGAAAGTGCAGACTTGGAGCTGATCTAATTGCTGATCTCATGTTGCCAGCCTTTCAATTCAAGGGAAGCAGATAATGATGCTGCAGAGCTAGAAACAACCCAGTTGTTTTTACAATTATTCAAGCTTCTCATTCTCTTTGAGCCTCATCCAAATTTCTAATTAGCAAAGAATAATCCCAGAGGAGGAGAGGTAACAGCAGGCTTCCCTCAGCCCTATGAAACAACCCAAGATCAAAAGCCTTTCTCAGGTATACAACAGCCTTTTCTCCTCATGTGGCTTTGTCAGGCTCCAATACTCTCTGATCAGTCCCTTCTAGATGTCCCCCACAAAGAGGATTTAGTGGTTTAATACCAATTTTACTTGTTTGAAGCTATTTGACATCATGTGGGATTTTAATTTGGAAAAGTGATACAGCAATGTCCTGAAGTAGGTGTAGGGGGGGATGTCCCAGTGCCTTGGTGCTGGGACAAGTTCAGCATCCTCTACAAAAGCTGTGGTCACTTCCTACATTCCCTTCTGAGCTTCTTGAGCTCATCATCCTCCTGTCTGAGCTTCCTTCAGCACATCATCCTCCTCTCTGAGCTTCTTGAGCTCATCATCCTCCTCTCTGAGCTTCCCTCAGCACATCATCCTCCTCTCTGAGCTTCCTGAGCTCATCATCCTCCTCTCTGAGCTTCCCTCAGCACATCATCCTCCTCTCTGAGCTTCTTGAGCTCATCATCCTCCTCTCTGAGCTTCCCTCAGCACATCATCCTCCTCTCTGAGCTTTCCCCAGTGGAGGGCTTCACTACCTGCTCACATTTTTTTTGCTTCTCCAGTCCCAGCAGTCAATTTGAATTGTATTTATTTGTGTTCCTGATTGAGATCCTCAGTTTGAAGTGCACTGGCTGCATTTAATTGGTGTTGTGCTTATGCTGAGGATCAGAGTGCTTTAGAAAAGCTGTTTCAGTGTGTGCCACACCAACTTTATCCCAGGCATTGAGGAAGCAACAGTTGTCATTGTGTTTCACTTCAGATTGTGACAAGATAAACATCAAAATAATTCTTTTCCACTGTTTCTATCAACCTTTTGGCCACTTAAATATTTTGGATGAATTTTTTTCCCTTCTCTAAATAGACACATAAAATGTTGTGGGTTGGAAGGGACCTTTAAAGATCATCTACTCCACCCCCCCTGCAGTGATATTGCTGCATTTAGCCCAGAAATGCAAACCCAGCATGTTTTAATCTTGCAGAAAGGAGATTAAAAAGAAAAGTCTGTCCTATATATTTACAGCAGCTTCATGGCTATACATAGAACTCAACAGATTCTTCAGTGTTTATTCCCTGTTCCCTGAGACATGTGTGTTACCAGGGGAAAATGGTTGCTTGCTTTGCCAAAACTCCATTTTGGGTTAAATCTACAGGCCAGGCCACCAGTCACTGGAGACTCACCTTGAATGGGGGTGACAAGAAGGAGCTCCCTGCAGCCCAGCTCTCCAAGCTGCCCCTGGAGTCACAGATAGAGGAGCTGAGCACAAGGTATGGTGTGACTCCCTCCATGCTGTGCTACTCACCACAGCTAAAGTCCATTGGTGTCCTTCCAGCAGTGGTACTGCAGCCACTGGCTGTAGGAATCACACAGTCATGGAGTGGGTTGGGTTGGAAGGGACCTTAAAGCTCATCCAGTTCCACCCCAGTGCCATGGGCAGGAGCCCTCCCACTAGAGCAGGTTGCTCCAAGCCCCATCCAGCCTGTCCTTGAACATCTCCAGGGTTGGAGCATCCACAACTTCCCTGGGAAACCTGCTCCAGTGTCTCACCACCCTCACAGTGAAGAATTTCTTCCTGATTTCTAATCTAAATCTCCCCTCTTCCAGTTTGAAGCCATCACCCCTCATCCCATCACTACAAGCCCTTGTAAAAAATCCCTCCCCAGCTTTCTTGTAGGCCCCTTTCAGATCCTGAAAGGCCCCCAGGTCTCCCCAGAGCCTTCTCCTCTCCAGGCTGAACAGCCCCAACTCTCTCAGCCTGCTTTGGGCTTGTCTTTGGCACAAATTTCCTGAGATTATACCAACACCCAGAAACATGAAGCTGATAGAAATGTTCAGCACCACGAAACACACAGGAGGCAGATCACTTTATTTTCTTTACAAATACATTATTTGCAAGCTTATTACTGAAAATAAAATTATAACCCTTAACAAAACAGATCTGAAAAGCCTCTTGGTCACCTAATACTCTTTTCTATCTCAAAGAGAGAGAAGGAGCAAGTGTGAAGTCTGCTCTTTCTCAGGCCTGTCAGGAAATGAGCAGATAGCTTGTGTTTCACTGTGTCCTTCCCCAGAGCTTCTGATTTGCTTTGAAACTCCACAGCTCCCAGGAAGAGTTTTCCTTTTGTTCCCTCCCAGGCTTGGCATCCAGCTGGATGAGAATGAAGCTCTGAAGGCTGCTTTGGAGGCTACTGTGAGAAAGAAAGAGGAAGACTTTCAACTCTACCAGGACACAATGGAGCAAATGAAGGCTATCTTCTTACAGGCCATTCAGCAGCAGAAACAAGAGAGGAGTTAAGCAAGATATTCAGATTGTTTTGGACTTCAGAGCAGGGGGAGAGCCCAGGCAGCCTGCCCACGGGCTGAAATGCAGTGGCAGTGTCATTTTG